AACAAAACAACAAACAAACAAAAAATAAATGTGTTGTTATGATCTGGCTCTCAAAAATTTGTTACGATAATAATAAAGACTCTTGGGCTTAGGAAAACTACTGGACAGGATCCCCCTTGGTAAATAAAGGAGCAGCTGCCTGGAAAATAATTTATTCCAGCCTTTGCTCACAAAGGGGACCCCAATAATTTCCATAGCCTTGTAGGAAATACATTGCTAAACATATCATTGTGATATGTATACATTGGTCATGGTCTAAATTTTCTGTGGGAAAACAAGGTTTTATTTAAAATGCTCTTGGTACAAAACAAAATTAAGAGGGGCTAGGCATTTAGCTCAGTGGTTTCACCACCTGCTGCGCAAGCGCAAGGACCCGGCACCAAAAAAAACCCCCAAAACAAAACAAAATTAAGGGACAAAGGGTTTCATGTAACTGATACTCATTATATTTCATTCTTGCCTTCCGGGTGTACAAGTCTTCTGGGATATTATTTACAGTAATGATCTTTTTTGACTCAGGTATCTGCCTTTCTCTTGCACTCCAGCTCCTTGTGATAAGAGGTACATGTCAAGCCAGCATGAGAAAACCAATCCAATAATAGTTTTCTTAACAACTCACGTGATGTGTACGTGTCACCACACTTAGGGATGTTCAGTTGCCAAACAGTTGAAATAATGTCACACACTAAAATTAGAGGCTAGACATTATGAACTCCTGAGGCACATTTATAGGTCAATATGTGTGCTGTCTTTAGATGGCGTCCTACTAAGGGATCACAAATAAGAATTTTCTTTATGTCATTTAATGTCTTGTGATCAGATGGAGGTGTTTGAGGAAAAGACTATTCTGTACTAAGATGGACATGTATTACAAAGAAAATGTCATCATGATTGTCATGCTAAAATACCATGTGTAGCTCTTGATCTTAAGTTTCTCTGTAATATATAACTGTTGTCTGTTAACATTCTGCAGGGATTCAACTACTAAAACAACCATGGTTGGTAAGAAATAACAGCCCTCTAACTGTGCTTTATACTTCAAAAGTTCTTGATGTCTTAACCATTATAATAGTTAAGCTCACTGCTCCTACTGAGATACTTACGTCACTGATCTTCTCTTCTGGGTGTTCAACAACTAAAGTTTAGAGACCAAAATTAGAAAGGTAACTGGGCTATGAGGACAGCCAATATTTTGGGCCTGGGCCCTCAAGCTCAAAGAATCCAGGACATGAGGGAGCCTTTTCTACAAAATCCTACATCTTTGGTAAGTCACTCACCCTCCTGAGCAGGGAGATTGGTGGGCACCAGAGGACAAATGTACAGTGTGTCAAAGGAGGGTCACAAAGAGGAAAAAAATCTCCCATGCTTTCACTGAAAGCAACATGGTCAAGCAAGGCCATGATCCATCCTGACAGCTGACACTGACAGAGGAGCTGAGACACTATGCATGGTTCCAAAGTAATGCCTGAGAAGACTTAACTGACCTTGATAGATAGTAAGAGCTTCATACTGATTATGACACAAGTCTCACTTCAACTTGGCCTTAAACACCCAGCAGAAAAGAATAACCACAAGAGGTATAAAATAATGCCATAGTAATAAAGCTAGATATAAAAAGGGGCTCCAGTCACTGACCCCTTCTGGCAGTTTCCAGCTCTACCAGGAGCTGACCACAGTTACAGATCATTACGAAAAAACTATGGTAAAATCTGTAAGAGCTCAGCTAGAGTTTTAAATTTCTTAGTGAGATTTGTTCATCAAATTGTCTCTTATCTTCTTACAGCTAAAACTAGAGAAACTTATGACAAAGTATCAGACTTATACATAACCTCTATCAATGGTTACAATCACTATTACAGTACCTAAATGTAACTTTCCCCCAACCTGCCCTTCCATTCTAGTGTGCTCATGCTTAGACTATACATGCTCTAATTTCTTAAAAGTTTTGTTTATTCTTGCCTAGAGGCTGCCAATTCCAAGCAGTTATACAAATGGAACCAATGACAAATGTGCTAGCCTTCTTTTACCAGGATTCAACAGATCGACCTTGTAAACAGCTCATAACTGCTAAACTACACAATACAACTTCTGTGTTGGATTCTGAAGTCCCCTGGACCTTCTCCTTATCCTCTTTGTGGGAGGCTATTACTAGTTCCTCCCAGTGGAAACCTTTGTTGGCTATATTCGTAGCAGTCCTGCTGACCTTAGTATTTGGTCCATGTATTCTTCACTGTTTCTTTGGTTTTGTCTCCTCCAGACTCAGAGCTATAAGGCTACCCAAGGTGACAATGCCTGGCACCTATCAAAGGCCTTTAAATAGACCCTCTGGAGAGTAACTCTGACTGCTGATCACAACTCCAACCCTCTTCAGCTGGAAGTAGCCAGAATGGTCTTTGCCCTTTGCCCCCTCATAGAAGATAGGGGTCCTCCTTAGAGCGGGGAATACTGCAGATAGGTGAGTTAATTAGATATCTTGTAGGAAGTTAACAGGGCCTCTCTTAAGGCGCCAGCTCTCCAGGAACCAACACAATGAGAAGCCAACACGGAGGACAATTGAGGCACATTCACTGATTAGCATTATAAAAAGGAAAAGAAGTACTACTTCCCCTAGAGATAGATAGCACTGGTTAATTGATATTCTAAATGGAAAATTCCTTATATGCTTGCTATGTGATTTGCTCCCCCATCTGACCCCCATTTAATCAATATTATCTGGGTGACTGTACTTGTAATCTTATTGGTTGGTCATGGTATGGCCCCACCTCGTGCCCACCTTGTAAATTTCCATTGAGTCTTATAGTTTTGTCTCGCTTTATACCCACCTCACCACATGGCTTTGCTGTATAAAACATCCTTAAAAAATGGGGTGGGTGGGCAACCCACTTTCTGGTCCCCATTCTGTCTCTCTTAGACAGAAGCTCTCTTTCTCTCAATAAATTTTTCCTACCCTTAAAAAAACTACAGAGCTTTGGGTTCTATGGTACATTAGAAAAAAATCTACCACATAATCCAGCAATCCCACTACTGGGTACATGATCAAAATAATTGAAAGCAGGATTCTGAAGATACATTTGCAAAAACAAACAAATATACTGGAAGAAAGGGAGAGATTCCTAGATATATATGAATTACCAAAAATAAACCAAGATGACTTGATTATCTTAAATAATGTAATTATTGGCAATGAAATTGAAGCAGGAGGAAAACCCCTTTCTTAATAGAACTAAGAAAAGCCCAGGATCTGATGGACTGATTCACTGCCAAATTCTACAAGAACTTCAGGGAAGATCTAATACCAATACTTCTCAAACTCTTTAGGAAAATCAAGAGTGAAGTAGCACTCCAAAAATCATACTTGGAAGCTAACATTACAATGATCCCCAAACCAGACAAGGATCCAACCAAATAAAGAGAACTACAAGCCAATCTCCATGATAAATACAGATGCAAAAATCGTCACAAGATACAGGCAAACAATGCAGCAAAACATCACAAAGGTCACACACCATGACCAAGTAGGCTTCATCCCAGGGATGCAAGGATGGTTCAACATATGCAAATGAATATATGTAATCTATCACACAAAAAGAAGCAGGAACAAACATCACAGGATCAACTCAATACAGAGAAAGCCTTTCACAAAATTCAACATCCATTCGTGATAAATACCCTGAAAATAGGTATAGAAGGACCTTATCTCAATCTGATAAAAGCCATTTATTACCAAACTACTGGCACTATCATTTTAATTGGGGAAAACTGAAATCTTTCCCTCTAAAATCAGTAACATGACAAAGATGTCCACTATCACCATTCCTTCATCACAGTCCTTGAAACATTAACCAGAGCAATCAGGCAAGAGAAAGAAATAAAAGGGATATGTTTGAAAAGGAGGAAGTCAAAGTATCTTTATTTGCAGAAGACATAATCCTTGACTTATAAGACTCAAAACTTTACACCAAAAGACTCCTAGAATTAATAACCAAATTTAGCAGTGTAGCAGGATACAAAGTCAACACACAAAAACCAACAGTGTTCCTACACACTACTAATGAACTCAATGAGAAAGAAATTAGGAATACAGTGCTATTCACAATAGCATCAAGAAAAATTAAATACTTAGGAATCAATGTAACCAAGGAAGTGGTGGACCTCTACAATGAAAATTACATCATTCTGAAAAAGGAAATCAAAGGCCACATGAAAAAATGGAAAGACAGGCAGAACAAATATAATCAAAATGGCTATACTTGCAGAACTGATATACAGATTTAATGCAATCCTCATCAAAATACAGCATTTCTCACAGATGTAGAGAAAAGAATCTCAAAAGTCGTGTGGAACCAGAAGAGACCTAGAATAAAAGCAATCCTGGGTAACAAAAGCAAACCAGGAGGCATCACAATCCCAGATTTGAAGTATACTGCAAAGAAACTGTTTCAAAAATATTTTAAGGTATATGTTAATTTGTTTCACTTATATGCTAGTTTCTCTTTGCTCATTGAAAAGAATATTTGTTCCTTTCATTTGTTTGTTTCTTCTTTCTGCAACATGTTACTGCTGGGAAAACTGAAAGGTATCCAGGGGCTCTGTGTTACTTCTTACAACTGCCTGTGAATGTATAGCTACAGTATTTCAAGACAAAAAGTTTAATTACATACAGCACACATAAAGTATAGAATGAAATCATCTTAATACAGCTACACTTCTCTGGAGTGCTTTCCACTACAGTACATTAGCGATTTCTCAAAAACAAAGAATCTCTTCGCTCCTGTTTTATAGACTGCAATGTGAGAGATTTCTAGCTAATTTAAAACAGAAAGTGAAGGCATCTTTAAAAGTTCCATAACGCAAAGTGGGGTCCCAGAGCGGAGGACCAGCTGGCTGCTCTCCTGAAACCACACCCACACAGGCTGCACCATGCACCCTGTGCCCAGGCCTGCCCCCGCGTGCTGTGCTCCCCAGGACACCTGGCCACGTGGCCGGGGCCATGTGCTCACTGGCAGGATGGTGGCGTAGCCCTGCTGGGCCGCGAGCATCAGGTCCCTGAGGAGGCCGCCAAAGCTGCACAGGCCGTTAATCAGAATGGTGCGAGCCGCCTGGTTGAAGGCCTGCAGCTCCTCCACGAGCTGGGCATTGAGGGCCTCGTACTCCTTTTTGGCCAGGTCCGACTCTGCTCTCTCGGACCGCTGCAGGTAGCTGTTGTAATCCAGCAGTTTGTCGTAGCGCTTCTGGATAAGCTTCTGTGGTCCTGGGAATAAGGACAGCAGAGCGGACAGCGGGTTCAGGACACGTCTCTGGAGCTGAGCCGCCTGCCGAGAGAAGACACGGGCCCATTACAGGGACGGCCAGCTAGGAGCACGTGCAGGCTGCCCAAGGCCACCTGTCCGCTCCAGGGGAGCAAAGAAGCAGGGATGAATCTGACCGCCTCTGGATTAGCTAAGCCTGTGCAGGGACCAGAGGCTCCTACTGAACCCGAAGAGCAACAGGAAGAGGAAAATACACGTGAAAGCCTCTCTCTCAAAACCTAACTCCACCTGTCTTTCCACTGCTAACGCCTGGACTGGCACTGCCCTTTCCCTGCTTTCTAAACCGGAGCCAAACTAAGCTCCACAAGGTGGAGGACTAGCTCCGCCTTTGACTCCCAAGACTGTGAATGCTCCACCATGTCACTCCCCATCTGCCAGCGGCCAAGGGGACACAGTCGGTGGTGGGGAGACCTGAGCCCACTCCTCCCACCCCAACCCCAAGTCCCTGACGGCTGGAAGGGCTTATCTTTAGCAATGGAACTGCATCCCCTATACAGACAGTGAGCTTTGAATGTAGCTCTTTTACTCCTGTGACAGAAATAACCAGAGTTATAACTTCCTCTTTAAATACCCTGAAGGGTTAAATGGAGGCTGGATCTGGATCTTAAATCGAGACATTTTTAGGTCTGAAGGACTGAAATAAATTTTGCTTGAACACCCAAGCCCATGTTGGCACCAGGCACCTTAGATTTAATTTCTTCTATTTCTCTTCCCTCCCACTTCACTCTGAGATGCACTAGTGCCTCATGCTTGCTGACTGCCTTCCCTCACCACCACCTCTGCTTGTATCATGTGGCTGGGTGACAGTAAGGTGGAAGGGGGCTTTTCTGCGGCCCCTCTGAGATGATTCAGGAAGTTGGCACCTCAGCAGCAGCCTCTATTAACTAACTTCCATGGCCCTGCTAACTGTCCAACTCATGGGAAATCGAGAAGAGAGGAGACCTGCTCTTGCTGGCGCCAGCAACAGCCAACCCACATTGGATTTGATGTCTAGTATATGAAATAATCAATACAAACCTGCACATTGTTTAATGAGTCTCCTAAGCAAAGAATCTATTTACTGCAGCTGATATAAATTTTTGTGTTTGTGACTTGACTGGATTCTACAGGAAATATACTATAATATAATTTCTATCTAATCTATCCATCCATCCATCAATCTGTCTCCAGTGACTCATAGACATGAACTGATTCACCTAAACACTGGAATTGTGGTTAGAACAAATAAGAAGGGATTCTATTTTAATATTTTGTCCTACATAAAAGTGTATATAAGTATCATTCATGGTTAGATAAGAACAATTGCTCTGCCTTTAGACAGGTTCTGGGTTCTTAATATAGTTTTTGTTTGTTTGCTTGTCTGTTTGTTTGAGACAGGGTCTTGCTATACAGTTTAGGCTGGCCTTGAACTCACTGTGTAGCCCAGGCTGGCCTCAATCTTATGAAAATCCTCCTGCCTCAGCCTCCCAAGTGCTAGGATTACAGGCAGGTGCCACCATGCCTGGTCTTAACATTTCATTTTTTAAAAAGAGTTATATATGTTATATATAAATTGTTACTTTTATATTGAGGTTTCTGATATTTATTTTAATGGCCTAATAAATTATCTTGTGGTTTTATGCAGGGCTCCTTCATCTTCCTGCTAAATCATGGAATGCATTTGCAGAGGGAGATTCTTCACACTACAGTGGTACCTCAGGTCACGAACTTAACTCGTTCCATAGTTCTGGTCGCAAACCAGAGAACTGGATGAGAACTGAATCAAATTCAATGGTTAACTTCAACATTGACCTTATGGGGAAATTAGAGTCAGTATGTGCTCAGATGTACTCAATAGATATTTATTGACTTAATGAATTTGAATTAACCTAAAGAGCAGACCTGTAAGGTCTTTTCTAACATGTGCTCTCTGTAACTAAACCCAGAAAACACATTAAATAATGAATCACATTTCTCCCATTAAACACATATTGTAAAAACGTCAGTCATCCACCCATCCACCCATGAGTGGGAATCTATCATCTTACTTCAGATGTACTCCTGACTTTCTATTTCCCAGTGCCAGGGAAGCAAGATGCTTCTTTCTGTGTGATTTCCTAGTGCTCCTTCCCGGGTTGAGAGACTGTGGCCATGGTTCACTGGTTGTCACAAGGACTTGACTCAGCCTGGTGAACTAAGAATGTGACCATCCTCCTACACAAGCCACTTGCTGAAGACTTATCTGACCCCAAAATGCCGGTAATGCCACCACACAAGATGTCAATTTCAACACGATGGAGTCCACGATGTCCTCTATATAAACTTAGCTAATATGTAATAATTATAGCTATAAAAACACAAGGCGCTGAGTTAAAATCAGTGTTACCCAGATGACTTTACTAACCAAGTATTATTGATTCAAGCATGTTTTTATGGTTCCCAAGCTATATTTTGCATGACTCTTAGAAAATACGTATTTTATCATGGAAAAGAAGACATAACGCGACTTTCAGCAAAAGTGCTTTCTCGGCAGGTAGGTTTGCGGCCCAGTGTGCATTGCGCTGACAGCCCTGCTATCTGCAGAGAGGACCTGCCCTCCTATGGGACAGACTCCTCTAAGAAAACCACAGCTTTCCAGCTCAAATCCTTAATATCTCTACGCAGACTTAAACTAAATCTTGATTCTAAAAGGAGCACAGCTACTGACTACTACCCCAGAAGCAGTCTTGGGCTGCTTTAAATTTCAATTATAGCAAAATCCTCACTAATCTACCTAAAAATATTTAATAATTTAAAAAATCTCCTACTAAAAATCTCCTAATTTTGACTTTAGTATTTGCTTTCATTTTCTAACTGCAGAAGAATAAATGAAAAGCCACTTTTAACCCCATTATTTAATTTGCATTTAGCTGTATAATTAACTTACAAAGTCATGGCAGAGGTCTGGGGCAAACCGCGGGTTCTCTGCCGAGCTCCGCTCCTCCTGGTCCGGGTGCTGTGACATCTCCCGCAGCTCTGTCACCCTCTGGAGAGCAAAGGGCAGGGCATCCTGAAACCCAGCAGAATCGTTACAAAAGGGCAGGCTCTGGAGTCGGTGCTATTAAAGCCCCCAAATGTGAACTAGATCATTGTAATACTCCACTTCCGGTGACGGATTAAAAACAAGATTAAAAACACATTTCATGAATATGCCATGCGGCCAGGTGATTCCTAACAATCTACTTCCTCCCTCCCCGGGTCAGCTTCTCCTTGCATTCTGTCTAAGGTCCCTGGTTATGTGGAATCCACCTTAGATTCCCTCACTGGCCGCTGTTTACCAATCAATTCCTTCAGACTGCTTATTTTCAACTTCAGTCCTCTTGATTTCATCATCAGTTTTCTCTAGTTAGTTTAGCCCTCTTTTTAGGAGAATATGCTCACATTTTTGTTGACTCAATTGGTGAAAACACAAGACTTGCCAGTAAATATTTCCCAAAGGCGTTCACTCTCCAAGGGGAACACAGGACAGGGCTCCCATGTCCTCTGGCTGCCGCAACTATGGTTTGGTTTTGGTTTCACAGAAGGCAGCACTCGAGGAAGAGACAGGCGGACCCAGTTATAAAACAGGCTTTGCACCAGATAACGAACAAGAACACAATGGTGTTTGTCCTTACAGAACCTGGAACCTGGTCCCCAAACCAGTGTGCTTGACACCTTAATCCCCTGCTGGTGTGTCATTCTATCAACATCTACTTCAAAGAGAAAAACTTCCAGAAAAGGAAGGGGGCCATTTACTAGCTGATTTATGTGTAACACTACCAACTTCTACATCCCATAGTCATAACCATTGTCAAGACATCTCTAAGGACACTGTGACCCCTTGTAAGAGCCATGAGACGCCAACTCCTGAAATAATTAATCTTGAAATAATTGTGCTGTACTCCAACTGGCACGTTGAAATCAGTGATTCTGAGGGGTTCTGAACAACGATCTAAGGGACTAGGCATTTTGGGGAATGTATTTATCTTCTAGTGTAATTGTGTGAGAGTGTCTGCTTTTTGTACTTTATATTACTTCGTAGTTCTGTTTAGTTTCTTACATACTGATTTTAGGTACTAGAAAGTGAAGTTCTAGTAAAATCAAACACATAACACAATTTCTGCCTCCTGTATAACTTAGTATTCATGAACTCATCTCTGTTATAAAGAAAACAGGCTAATGCCCATATGACAAGTATTGGAGCGAAGGCCCCAGAATATAGTAGCTTGGATGAGGGAGAGGGTGGAGCGGGCAGTGGTTAAAGAGCACAGCCCATCTTCTGCGGGCTCCTTTCACTGGCTGTCTGCAGCCGTCCAAATTTGCTACAGTGCGCAACATAACATAAATAAACAGTCACGTTTACTCCCGTGATAACATAGAAAGCAATGCATTCTTGTAGTAACACCGAGAAGGCCATGGCTCACCTACCTGTATGTCTTGAAGACAGAATGAGATGTTCTTCATACACTGCCTCACAGTTTTTTCTAAAGATCTGAATAGTTTTTCTTCTTTGTTAAAGGTATTATCTTTCACCTAAAATACAAATGAAATTACTTTCATAACTCAAATGAATCTAGTATTTAAGAAATAACATAGACAGTAAAGGCCCAGAACATTATAAAAAATTCCTTGTTGGTTCTGCTGCCTGCCTTGCAAGAACAAGTTTCCGAGTTCAATCCCCGGTACCAAAAAAAAAACATTCCTTGTTGATAGGAAAACCTTCTGGGATATGCTGACTATGGTCACACAGTGGCTTCTGGGTTGGCACACAGCACAGCGGCATGTTCAGTTAGTGTTGCAAAGCCATGTCAGGCAGCTGGATCTGCTGTTGTTCATTTGCACACAGCTTCACCTATGTCACAGTAGCTGCAGGGTTATAAAACTGTTCTCTATAGTTTTTGGTGGCATACACATATAATTTACAAACTCAAGTGATAGTAATATGTGCATTTCCCAGATAGTTAAATTTTATCATTGACAGGAATGTATTGTTTTGCTGATGGGACTCACTCCATTTTATTTCCAAGTACATATTCAGAAAATATTCTTAGGTCCATGGTTAAAGAAAAGTGGCAATTATCACCTCAAATGTGAGAGATGACATATAATCTTAGTTCTTCTGTTAGGATAAATCTGCAGAATTAAGGTAGTGTTCACATATGTTCAGTTATTTTTTTTCTCATTTTACATGTGTTAGCACTCAGAAAAATATGCTTTTATATGCTACTGGCAATTTTTAGGAACACACATCTATTGTAACTGAAGGTAAACATTAGTTTTTAGCAATCAAAATAGCTACAAGATCAGAAGCAGGCTCATGCTGGCAAAAGCATGCAACTTCAGTGGAACAGGCCACAAACTGTTCAGTTCATCACTGGGTAATAATTGCAGCTGCTCCTGGCTCCTATGTTTCTTAAATTCACACACCTGACTTAAGAACTGAGCGGGTAGAGATGATACCATTTTATTTATTTTTAAACCTTTTAATAGTTGTTTAACTAGAGAACTTTTGATTGAGTAGAGTTCTTTGTAATCCACATGAAATCCAATGCCTTTGGTCTTACAAAAATTACCTGACATTTCCTGATTTGCTTACAATCAGCAAGTCTCTATGTTCCAAATTAGACTGATATGTATAACAATATGCTGAGGCAGATTTTTTAAAACACAGTGTCCCAGGAACACCATGCAATATTTTATTTTATATGTTGTGGCTGGAATCCAGATGATTCTGAAGTGGCAGGTTTAAGGATCACAGTGAGAGAAATACTGCCGAGTTCTACTTCTCCATACCCAAGCCTTTCTCATACTGTTTTGCTGGAATATGTAGCTGTTATTTTTCAGCCTTAAACAATTCTAAATTTTAAAAATAAGCATTTTTAAAGACTAGTTCAAATGTTACCCCATCTGTGACTCTTACCTTCATTGCTATTCTTCCCACCATAGAAAATCAATTTATTCTTCCTAATGTGCTCTTATAACACTGACTAGTTAAGAAATTCTCTCCACTGATGAATTTCAAATATCTAAGATTAAACATTTTCATCTTAAAAATAATGGCTGACATTTATTAAATACTGACCATGTTCCAGACACTGCTCCCAAACCTTCTTTCCATTTCTCATTCTTATACAACCCTATATGGTAGATATTGTGACTGATTCCACTGTACCGATAAAGAAACAGAAGCTTCGGGAGGGTTGCAAAGATCAACAGCCACCATTGTCCTTTTGCCGACAGAACTGATACTTCTAGTTTAAATTGGACACATGGCTGGACAGTTAGAAAATTACATATCCTAGACTCCCTTGCAGCTAGCTCTGCCCACATGACTGGGTTTGGGAAGCTAGGATGTGAGCAAAGCATTGTGTTCCGTTCCTAAGTCTTGGCCTTGTAATACTGTGCTTGGGACTTGAAGGAAGAATGGAAACAAGCCAGCTTCAACCAAGCAGAGGAAGGCATTATGTTTGGGAAATGCACTACACAAGTTGAGTTCACAAAGGCTCATGTGAAATAGAGCCCATCGGCTCACATATTAGGACTATTATTAGGGAGAGAAATGAATGGCCAACTGACCTCAGCAACTGTGCTCTGGAATTTCTTTGTGACAGATACATGGCCTTTACCCGAATAAAGAGAGTTAGAAAATGTACTCACATTAATGGGTAAAATCAGGACACAAAGCCAAGCAGCTTGAATTCAGAACCCACCCCTGTTCAGCTTTGCATTCTCAATCTCTCACCCTGACTGGTATGTGAGAGTTCAATACATGCATGATGAATTGAATAGTCTTCCTCTTGGGCAATAGCTTTATACTCTAACTCTACCAATATTTCACTTTAGCTGCTGACAAGAGCAAAATTGATTGATTTGAAATTTATCTCTTCTCCAGTCCAGCCTATGCAGCTGATTTTCTGATTAACAGTGAAATGCTTCATTGCTGGCAGGACATTCTCTAAAAAGATTAAGGAGGAAATCTAATTAATATCCCTTCAGGCTATTTTAACTACAATTCATTTTTAGTTCACAACTGAAAAATAGAAGAAGCTGATGACAAATATTTTAAAGGATATAAAAGCTTACACAAAACCCTGCCCAAAATTAGAATCTGCCTATTGTTCCTTAATAGAATTGCCTTCCTTCAGAGGCAAAATCCTAAAGAGTGGAGAATTGTTTGCATGACATGTGTACATGTCCATAGGGACTACAATCTCTTCTTAAAAGAATTCCCAATTTGATTTTTATAACTGGTGTTTTTAGTTGAAATGTCCCAATTGTCCTTTCTCTCATCTGTGATCTTACTCCACAAATGTCCTAAACTTCAGACATTATAGTTTCACATTAGTAAGAGTAGCTTCTTATGAAACCGATCTAGTGAGCCCCTAAGGTTACAAAGATGCAAATGCATTCATGATACCAGCCATATACTCTAACAATGTACAAGTTGCCTATGCATGGTGAAGTTAGTGTGGCCACAAAAGAAAATGAGGACAAGGCTCAGAAAGAAGTATATACTATACTCACCAGTCTCAGGGAGGGGTCATCACTTGCCTCTCATGGGAAGCCCCAAATTTTAATCAAATAGCTCAAGATATGAATGAAGAAAAAGTCTAGGCCAGAGCCTTTACTGAGATTTCCTTGGGAAAGGCAAGTAGCTGGGAGAAAGTAGTTTAGGATTACTTGGAATGATTACATGGGCTCTGGGACATAGGGTTGGTCTCTAGTTGCTTAGTTCCTGGTCCTGGAACGATTTAGGGCAGAGATGGCATTAGTTTAGTGTGTAAGTGTTAGATAAGGAGGCGAATGGGCTGTAGATTTGGGATTGGTTGGCTTGCCTCTGAAAGTTGTGTTTCAAGCTGTTTGCTTGTCTCCAAGAATTGGCTAGCCCTAGAGCTGGGGATTTAGCTCAGCGGTGCCATGACTGCCTGGCAAATACAAGGTCCTGAGTTCAATCCCCAGTACTGGGGAAAAAAAAGAACTGGCTAGCCCTGGGAGGGGATATGTCTCTGGACCAGCAAGATATTTCATGCCAAAACATTATAAAAATACAGAAACTAAAATCATGATGACACCATCCACGAGGGAGTTTACATCCTCAGGGAAATAGTACATCTACATATCAAGTTAAATAATAATACAAAGCAATGATGTAAAAGACTTACGATAATCAATATTATTGAGTGTTTATATGGAGTCAGGTGCATTCTTTCTATATACATAATCTCATTTAATTCTCATAGCCATCCCATGTGTGAGGTCTGAGTATAATTTCCAATTTATAGGTGATTACACTGAATTTAAGCCATGTGTGCCAGGACAGATATTTATTAAATAGCAGAGGTGGAGTTCAAACCCTGGCTCAGATAACTTCAAAGGCTTTGCTCTTCATATCCACCTTCTGCTAGTATTTTCAAATGTGAACAGTGCCAACATTGGAATACAGAGTAAGTTCATTAAGCATTCAAAGGAGGGAGAGGCCACTTCTACTTAAATGGTCAGAGAGTTGAAAAGGCTTAATGGAAGGAAAGAGAGAGACCCTAGTAGTTACACAGTGAGGCAGATGGAAGAGAACATTTAAAATCAGTGCCTCTCATGCAAACTAAAAACCTTAGAGATGTTAACATAACAAGTGATGCAATCAAGGAAATGAAGGAGAAAGGTAAGGACAGTGCAGTATGCTAAGAACTCTCCTTCCTAATTTCAGGGAGAAGCCCCCTGTATTACAGAGTCAGGGCTGGGAACTTTCTGTCTTGAGATTCCAAGGTCTGTTCCGCTGATCCCTTACTTCAAAATTATCAGCATCACAATACCTGGAACGCTCGTAAAAGAAATCAGGCTTCTAGGTTGCACCCACGAATAAGATGGAACCCTAGAATCTGCCTTTCAACAAGCTGCTCGGGTAATTCTTCTTAAGCACATTAATGTTTATGAGTCTTTGCCAACCCGTCTATTATTTATTAGGTGTTGAGATGAAAATGGTTCAAGCCAGGCTAAACAGTTGACAAAAAACAGCTACTCACTAACATAACGGGCATCCGGGGAACAGGGAAAACGCGGGAAAGAAGCAGGGAAAACACCAGAAGAAGTTTGTCATTGAAATACTTTGTTTTTTTACAGGTGAAGCAAAGGTAAAACGAACATCGAGGGAACTTTTGAGGCAAGTGAGATGTCTGAAAGCAGAAGTAAACCAGAGGATGTTGCTAGGAGATGGTGTGCTGGTGATGCCAGGCCCCTGGGATGCCCTTATGGCCCAGGTCCCCGAGTCCCTTCCTCTCCTTTGTCTGCATCCCCAGTGGATGCATCACAGCAGAGTGTCAAAACCACCCAGGCCCACTTTCGTCCACACGAGAGTGGGGCGGGGAGGCAGTCCCCCTGATTCGCAGGGCTGTGGGTAGAGCCCTGGCAACAACAAAACAACCCCCCCAAACATCAGTGCCCACATTCCCTGGGAAAAGTAGGTGAGCCCGGAAGATGGTTCACCTGTGACTCTCCTCGGGTCAGAATCTTTAGATGATTTGTCACTCTTTTCGATTTCTTGCTTATTGAATGGATATTTAGTTTAGACAATTTGTCCTTGAGTGATTCGTCCTCGTCGTTCTTCTTGTATTTGAGAACTGAAAGGGAAGGAGGGAACATTTTTGAGCACGTGCAGCACAGAAAGGACCTGCTTCCGTCAAAGTTTCCAAGGTCAGTGTCTACACTCAAGACAAAATGCACCCATGACCCGGGATGCAGCCCTGGGGCCCTGTCTGTCCCAGCCAGCCACCTGCTGAGCCCCTCAAGGACATGGTCAGTTTACCTCCTACGTTAGGGAAATCCTTTTATACCAAAAAAATTTCCCCCTCTGCTCTCAGTCAAAACGTCTGTTACCTGGGGCCTCTGGAAAGGAAGTCAGGACCTAAATCAGGACAGACAACTGCACCCACTGGAAGGAACCTGGGACCCTCAAGGGGCTCTTCACCAGCTGAGAGATTTGGAGAAGCCAAGGAAACTCTCTGAGCTTTGCTTATGGATTTTCAAAATTGTTTTTACTTCTCATATTGATGAAAATATTGAACATCCTTAAAATTCAGTGTTGAGAAGGATGTAGGAAGATAGGAACTTGTGTACACTATTCATGAGGATTAATCCAACAACCTTTAGTAAAGAATATCATGCAGAAGCTACCAAAAATGAAAATATTCATGCAGGAAAATCTGTTCTCCACAATGAAGCATATGAAGTTTTAGTCTGTGTATTAAGCTTTTTTTTTCTATTAGCAAGGTACTGGAAACGATCTTCGAAGTTTATCCATAAAGTGATAATTCAATAAATGAAATTGCACTCATGAGTAGCATACTATAGAACCATAAAAAAGAAGGCAATAGTAACTGAAGAATGTTCAAAAAGTTCATGGTGTATGGCTGAGTTCGAAATGTTCAAAATGTGCATGGTATATGGTTGAGTTGAGAGCAAACTGTAGGACCATCCAAGTTAAAGGAAGGAAGAAGCAAAGGGGGAAGACAAAGTATGAAGAAAATACATGCAAAGTGGAATCACAGGAATGAAAAAATTTTACTTTAGAACTCTGAAAGAGTTTAAGCAAACAGAAAAGTAGTAAAGAGTAGCATGGCAACTATTATCTACCTCCCAGCTTTGTTAAATCTTAGTATTTTCCACTTCTCAATTTTTTATCCTAAATAATAAAATTTATTACCCTTGAGTCTATTTTGATTCCCTTGCTGTGCAGGTATGGAATTATACAATAGTATTTTCATCTCTACAAATGGCACCACATGGCACGTATTCTTTTTGGCACTTGCTAACTGGCTTTCTTTAAACACAAGAAAATCAATCCAACTGACATTCTGAGATTTCATGTGAGAAGAGCAAATCCGAGGAAGCACTTTGGGGCCCCCGGAGGACCCCAGATTTCTGCCAACCACTGCCCTCTCTGTGACATCAGGGACCCGGTGTAACTTCCTGTGTGGAAATCTACGTTTTAGACTAGACAGTAACCGAACACCTTAACCTTCATATAGTTAACCATCACGTGTTACTCCACAGAAGCACACCTGCTCCTCGAAGACGAGCAGCGACTCTCCCGCACCGGCCTCCCGAGTGTGCAGGGCCAGAGGGTCCTGGACGGACCCTCGGGTGTGAACCCCTCATGACCCCTTACGTGACGCCTCACGTGACCCTCACGTGACTTCTCGCGTGACCCTGGGTGACCCCTCAGGTGGCCCCTCCCTTGAACCTTCCTGTGACGCTCGGTGGCCCCGCCCCGCCCCCGTGCTTCCGTCCACCCGCGCTCCCGGCTCCTCGCTTCCTGAGCTCTTCGGCTGCGCGGCTCCTCGGCCCTGGAGGGCCCCAGGACACAGCGCCCAGGCCGAGCGCGAGTCGCCCTCTGTCGGCCGACTGCCAGGCTGTCCGCGTCCGACCCGGAGCAGCGTTCGGCCTCCAGCCCGGCCCCCGCACGGCGTCCTACCTAGCTCCTTCCTGCGCTTCAGCTCGTTGATGCTGGCCGCGGCGTCCCTCAGCGCGGCGCAGGCCTCCTCCAGCGCCCGGCGGTCGGGGTGCGCGGGCGGCGTGGCCCGGCGCAGCGCGCACAGCAGCAGCGGGTACTTCAGCAGGCGCTGCACCGGCTTGATGAGGAGCGAACCCATGTCCAGCAGGGCGGGTCGGGCCCTACGGAGAGAGCGTGGCGCCAGCCACTTTCACCCGGTGACTTTAGGTAATGGTCCCCCCCACTTGGATATATAAATTTGGATATATAAATTTGGATATATAAATTTTTAAATGGAAGCGAGAGCCCAAAGTGACAGAAAGCAGCAAGGCCGAAAGACCCCACTACTCAAGAAAAATCAAAAGCAAATACATCTGTCCGCCCAAAAGGGCTCAGTGTGATTTTCGTCCATCCGTCCACGTACCACACATAGTTTACGTCTGTCCACATCTACACACTCACAGCTGGCTTTATGATGTCATGGGAGACAATTTCAGAATCTTTTCCCACGACAGTCAAGAAGAATAGACTTTTCTCCTGATTCTCTTTTGTGAATATTAGTGAAGAAAATAGACTCATCATTTAAAAACCGCACAGATGACTTGAAAAGTGTGATCAGAAGAAGACACTGTCCTGTCTTCCACCGGATGGGAGAGCTGCACGTACAGCTTTCCAGCGACCCCACCACAGTCCCCCACAGACAGGTGTAGTAAATGCAGGCTTTTCTAGTTATTCTTATGACCATCACTATCGCTAATCGCGTCGCACAGTGACTTGCACGGGAAATTCCTTGCCAGCAGGTCTTGCAGTGACCGCAGCAGTGGGCACGCAGCTTAGCTGTGGAGGAAAGAGCCACAAGTGCGGCCTGGCCGGTGTCCAGCCACTGCCGCTGACCCTCAGCCGCTGCACTCTGCGTGCAAGCGGACAGATACCGGATGCGATGGTAGGAAATGCAGACATGGTTTTCACATCCCAAAAGGTGCATTTTTTTATACTTACGCTTTTCAAGTACTAGTGTGGATAGCCAATAGACCGTGCAATTTGAATAGTAAAAAAGATACAACAACGTTGAGCAAGTAGAAAATCAGAAAATTGCGTCATTACAAAGAACGGTTTGAAGACATTTTAGAAACCGTTTAATTGAACTCCTTTAACAATAGGAACTACGGAATTTTGTCATGTGTACATGTCCACACGCTTTCAGAGACACACAGATACACGAACACACACACCTGTCACTGTTACACCTCCCTTTGATTCTCACTGTAGGACTTGGCGCTGTCTAGAATCACCTTGGTTCCCTAGCTCCAGTTTATGATCAGTATGATCAGTCTGTCACTACTCTTCTTCACCGTGAACGTCCTGTTCTCACTGCATAATTGTAGGCTGAGAATGATAGCTTTCCCAGATTTTCTGCTTTTCTTTTTTTTATAGTGAACTTTGTTTCTAGAAATTTCACAATGGTTGAGTAGATGACAGAGGAATTTTATTTACATGCTGAGAAAATTATAGTGGCATAACAGACACAAAGACTGAAGCAAACTAAAAAGCGACATTTTATAGAGGAAAACCAGAATAAATATTAAAGTTTTGCAAGGCAGTAAAGAGTTGCTTTAATATGTGTTATTTTACTTTTCCTGCTCCTTTCTCCCACATCTATTTAGGACAGAAGATAATGGATAGAGAATGAGAGAGAGGGAGGGAAAGAGAGAATCAGAGGTGGGAGGAAGAGAGAAATTGATTGTTGGTTTCCAAGAGAATCAAATACAGTTGATGAAAAAATATAAATTGATTATGGATACTGAAAAAATTAAAACATTTTCTGATGGTATATCAGTTATAGCCTCTTAAAGTATGGAGGACAGTATTTTGTTCTATAAACAAAGATTTTCAACACTACAGCAGTTTATTTTCTTCAAAATAAATAATTCCCTTATATAAAAAACAAGTCAGGAATGTAGAATATATTAACTTGATTGGAAGAAATTATCTTTATCATTATGGTCACAATTTCTTTTTTTTTCCCTGATTGTCATCAAACAATCATTTAATCTTAATCTTTTAGAAATCACTGAATATAGTATCAAAATATGGTCAAATATTTCAATCAAAGAAAATCCAACTTTAGTAAAATAGTTTATTAGAATGGCCTATTATCATTATGTATACATCTGAGTGTACGCGCGCACACAGCGGAAATTCCGCTGGAGTTAGTGGTGCGCTTGCGCACATCTTCCCGCCACCCCCTTTCCTCCTGGAGACTGCCGCACTGCCAGTGCAGGCCCTTTATCATTATTCCTTCTTTGCCCATAACTACTTCTATTTGCTTCTTTTTATGTTTCCACTGGCAATGATAACAAGTGATCCTTGTTTCTTTTGAAAGCACCAAAGATGCCTTCTCCCAAATATCTTTCTGAGAAATGAGAAATTCCTGGGCACTTTTGTCCTCAGACATTAAGGTAGCCCAGTTGCCCATGTGATGAGCAGTGATGCTCCCATATGTGCATCAGACAGACACACAATATGGTAGAGGAGATAGAGGATGAGTTAGAAGATAGTGATGCTCCAGGTATTCGGGGTCATGAAGCTAGTCCATCTAATCCCACGCAGTAAGATTAAGTCTTGATAACCAGGTGAAGGAGAGGAGTCCTATATCAGCTGCCTGCCCCTCAATAAGTGTCAGATGTGTAACAGTTTCCACATATATCTGGCTGAAAACTAAGGTGATAATTCATTACTAACTGTATTTCATCATGTTCTGCCTATCACCAATACTTTGGCAAGTATTTAGTGCCACAGTCTCATTACAGATGATAATAGAAACTTTACAAAGTCAAGTACACACACCGCCTGCCTCCAAAGTGCAAGGTCCTGAGTTCCATCCCCGGTTCCAAAAAAAAAAAAAAAAACCAAAGTCAAGTACACACAAATGACTTTGTTTAAGAAGCAATATCTAGTTTTGCTGCAAAAAGCTTCACATCAAATACAAGGAAAATGTTGCACAATGAAAACATAAATGACCTTTAAACAAAGTAAAACACATATTAATTAGAGACAGAAAAGGAAAAATAATCATGTAACTACCTACCACATTACTTGAATTTCCTCCTCATCATGACCACAAGTATCCTAAATTTAATATTTATTTTACAGTGGACACAGATATCTGTACTATTACTTATCTTTTAAAAATTTATTTCCTTATAAAACTCGATTCTGTTTTAAAGGAAACTATTGCTATACAAATAACAAATAGTGTTTGTCATAAGTAAATAATAACTGTGAAAGTATGGAACTATTAACAGATTTTTGAAGATGAATAAATGAGAGCTGAGATAACAGAGCAGCCAGCACCAGTAGCATGGACAGGTGATATTTAAGCCCCCAAAGTTGCATTAATTAGAGTCACTGGGTCCAGATGGGAGAGAGGAGGAAGGGCTGGGGGTCACAATAATAATAATCAGTTGAAAACCTATTTAAGAAACTACTTAATTCTTAGGGTGTTAAAAAATGAAGGAAATCCTTTATGGGACTGAGAAATTGAAAAGACTATAGCAATAATTTGGAAATTGAAAAGATAATAGCAAGGAAAAAAACCCTCACAAGTGTCAGAGAAAATGTTCAGAAACTTTCTGAGAGAAAGTGAAAATGCAAAGGGACAGAAAATAAAAGAATAACCTAAAAAAAGTAGAGAAATGGACTAGAAAGTCAATATCTAACAATAGGATTTCCAGAATGAGAGAAGTGGACAAATAGGAGGAAATCAGTGAAGTAATTTAAGAAAAGTACACGAGTGAGCGGGTTAATAGAATCCACTAAATGTCCAGAAAAGGGAAGTAGAGTCACACTTTACAATTCATGGAACTGAGAGTACTGGGGACAAAGAGAGGGACCCACTGTCTTTCTGAGAAACAGACACCAACAAAGGCCTTGGAATCAGAATGGACTTCAGATTGCTCATAACAACACTGAAAGCTGAAAAATAATTACCTTTAAATTCTGATGAGTGATTTTGAATGTAGAACTCTATTCTCAAGATTCTAATCAAGTGTGAGGGTAAAATAAAGATATTTGGGATAGAAAAGTTCTTTAAAATGTACTTCCAGTACATCCTTTGAGGGATGGAGGAAACTATTTGAAGGACCAGGATGAATGAGTAGCAAAAAGTGGAAAATCAAGAAATAGGCATAAGTAGTATAGAAACTGAGTACATGTTCAATATGGCATTCCTATTCAGTGGGAAAATTATCTTTCAATATCAAGTGTTGTGATAACCATATACAAAAAAAAATGGATTCCTGCATCATGTACACCAGAATAATTTTTAGAACAAATATTTAATTGTCAAAAATGAATCCATAGGGGACTGGGGTATGGTTCAATGATAGACAAATGTTTGACATGCACGAGGCTCCACGTGCAATTCCCAGCAGACAGGAGGAGGGGAGAAATGGGGGAGGAAAGGGAAGGAGGGAGGGAAGGAGGAGAAAAGCAGAAGAAATGAAATCATATGAGAACTTGAAGCAAACAGGAATTACATTTTAAATCCTAATTTTTAAGTGACTAACCAAAACGTAAAATCAAAACCATGTAAATCTACTTAAAAATTTACCTCTTTAAAACTGTACAGATAATAACAAAACCAGAAGCAGACTTAAACTAGGCTGAAAGTAAACTAATGAGTTGGAAAACTTATTTGTGGTACATAAGACTGACAAGGGTTAATATTTGTTAATCAAAGACACTATTGATCTATTAGAAAAAGATGAACATCAATAAAAGTGAACAGTCATTTAAAAAGATCATTCATTAGCAATGCATTACAGTTAAATATTCATTAAAATGCTCCCGATGATTAGTAATGCAAATTAAAACAATGGCCTGCTATGTTCCAACATCATAAAGATACAAATATTAATTGCATCCAGGGTTGGCAGGTAGTAGATAAATGGACAGCTCCTATATGAATAATAAGAATATAAATTAGCTCAGCTTTTCTGAAATTTTCTGAAAAAGTCATCAAAAGCTCTTTGATCTAGCAGTCTTTCCAAAGAAAATAATCAAGATTATTATTTTAAAAAATGCATACAAATGCACACACAACATCACTGTTTGCAAGACAGACACAATTCAACTGTCAGGAAAGGTTTGGTAAAGTGAATTATGACACATATCAGATGGAATATTATGCAGACATAAAACAATGTGGACTTGTAGTTACTGACATGCAAAAATGTCCATGATGAGCTGATAGGTGAAGTAGCAAATGGAGACCAGGAAATAAGTGTGTGTGTGTGTGTGTGTGTGTTTGTGTGTTTGTGAATGAACAGCTCTCTGTGACATAAGAGACATTGCAATGTCCATTGTGACAGTGTTTATCACCAGGACATGACTACTGATCACCCTCACTGTCCTCATTTTTATTTTCTTTATTTTGCAGTCTTTCTTTGATAATATTAAAAATACAAGGAGGTGAGAAAATAATCTAAATCATTTTGAGATTAATAGGGACTGGGAAACGCAAGGGTGGGAATAGCTGGTCAGACAGGGCACATACAAAGAATTAGAATGAAAACAGGAAGATACCAAAATACTGAATTTCTGGAGGCATTTACATGTAGAACAGGCATTTTTCTTCCTGTAGAACATGGGACCTGGGCTGGGGATTTAGCTCAGTGGTTCCGCTGCCTGCCTCATAAGAACTTGGGACCTGGCAGCTTTTTAGGGGACCCTTCAGTGAAGGATTTAGGATTCTTGTCATTTTAATGCTACTGTCTTTTGTGTTTGCCTAAGATTATAATTCAAAGTAAACATTTTGGAAATTACAAATCATTGACTATCTTTTTAAAAATAGACTGGGGAAAAAAGGAACACTTTTCACTCTCTGTAAGCAAGGGATGTTGTGGAGTCAGCTAAAGGCTACATCTCTTAACTGCACTCCTGGCCCTGACCTGGTGGCTTTGCCCTCAGCAACCTGGGATCACAGCACTCGACCACCTTCTGCCCTTTCTCTGGCAGCGACAGTGCCTGGGGACCCAGGGAAGGAGTTCGAGGTCCCCTTGGCTCTGATGTGCAGCCAGCCACATGCTGTGCGCTCACTTCCTCTCTAGCTCTTGGTGTGTAGGTAGAGCAGGCAAGGGGCAGATTCCACCCTAACTCAGTTTTACCATCTGTGCTTCAACAGCTGCAGAGCACTTCTCTTTCCGGCTTGGAATAACCCTGTCTCCCTCCCATTTCATCTTTTGATTATAAAGACCTTAGCTCAGGAAAAGAAACCTAAGCAGAAAATGTGGACCCGAGGTTCTTCTCTAACACCCAGCTATGTGAAGCCCCAGCCCTCGCACGATTCCAGGAGTATGGGCTTTATAATGCACCCCCACCCCATCCAATGTCATTAGAAACCAGGGGGCTTCGATGTGTAAGTGACCAACAGACTCACGCTGCAAATTCAAGCCATCTCAGAACTGGAAACTGGAACTACAAAATAGACCTAGTCATATCTGATTGTCCTGTAGAATATTTTTTCTTTCCAAGAGAAAAAAAAGCAAGACTCATAAAGTGGGCACTCATTGGACCTCTCAAAACCGAACTTCTCAGCTTGGCTGAGGTGTGGCGCCTTAGCCTCTGGATGCTGCCCAATTCCTCCCTTTCAGTTTGGAATTCTGTCTTTCCTCATGGCTGCTCTGCACTCAAGTATGAATGCCAGATATTTACGGCTTACATTGATACAATTTCTATTTTGTAAATTTTGTATTCCTCATGGCAACTCTTGGGAGTTTAACACACACGCGCGCGCGGCCACACACACACACACACACACACACACACAGGAAAGCACAGGTAAGAATTCAGGACCTTCGAGAGTTGTTGAGCATGCTGAGTCAAACACGCTTTTTTAAGGTCCTGGTAATTTGAGTTTATATTTAAGTCAGTATCATTCTTTCGGTATTAAACAGGCTAGATGTGATGCTTCTAGAAAACTGGACATCTTCCAGAGGATGTGTATATGTTTTTGTAAAATAACTTCTTACTAGCCACCTATTTCACCATAATGTCATTTCTATGCCACATGTATATATGATTTTTCTTCATAAATCATACATAGCCTAAAATAGATGAAATTCACTATTTTGCTATAATGCATGAAGAAGCTTTTCTTGTTTATTAGTCTTTTAACACTCAAAAATGATGGTATTAGTCTGAGATTTTTTTAAAGACTGAGGTTGGTTTTAGGAAGAATTGTTCTGGACACACAAAGATTCCTAAAGATATCTATAATTAGCAGCTGCTGTGAGTTACTTAATTAAATTATACATTAGGCTTCTACTAAAGTGTTTAGTAAGGTATATGTGATAATTTAATATGTAAGAGCATTTCAGACAAATTGGGATAAAGTAATATGAAATCAGATGTACCAAAAATGGGATAAATGTGTATGCATGACATGTATTAAAAGAAATACACTTAATTACAAAAATTAAAAATTCTGATTTGAACAGGTATATTAAGTAGCTTTTTCTCCACGATTTTTATATTTTTTCTATCAGTTTTTAGAAAGCATTTAGCATAAGCATTGCTTGCGATAACTCTGATTTGATCAATAAACAATTAACACATATATAAAAACATCAAAATGTATCCTAAAAATATGTACAATTACAAAGGGTCAAGTAAAAAAAAGTACTTACTCTTGCATGTATATTTTCCTGTAAGAGAGGGAAAAAAGTAAATTGATATAAATCCACATATTTGATTGTATAAACATTATAAATCTTTTAAATTTAATTATGTAAAATAAAGTAATAATTCTCATAAAGCCCCAAGTAATTAGTCTCACTGCTTTATAATCATGTCTCTAAAGTCTTGTTTAAAGTTTTTTTTTGCTTTTTTTTTTTGGTACCAGGGATCAAACTCGAGTCCTTGCACTTGTGAGGCAGGCGCTGGAACCACTGAGCTAAATCCCCGGCTCCTAAAGTCTTATTTTAGCATACTTACCACTTTTGCTTCACACTTTATATAAAATTAAAAACTGTTTACTCAGATAATACTAAATTTTGATAATTTGAAAATGAATTTAAACTTACATTTTTGTTTATATTATGCAAAAAACCTATTAGACATAGTAATGAGAGAAATCAAGGTCACGAGAGCCCAGCGTGGTGAGCCCATCTGCAATCCCAGGACTCTAGGAGGCTGAGGCAGGAGGCTCACAAGTTTCAGTCCAGCCTGGGCCATGTATTGACTTAGTGTGACCCTGTCTCAAAATAAAAAATAAAGTGCTGGGAATGTAGCTCAGTGCAGAGGACCTGCGTTCAACCCCCAGTATGTACTGAGAGAAGACGACAAAGCAAATGTCTGACTTGCAGAATACTATTATGAAGTGCTCGCTACTCTCTCTCTAGTTGAATGCAGATTGTGAACAATTTCCCTGTCGAATGAGTAATTCTCAAAAAAGCCTTCACGAGGCATCACTAACTTTTGCGGCTCCCGTTTTGCACAATCTTCCTCCTCTTCTGTCTCCTCTCACCCCATTTGCTAAAGGTCACCTCTTCCCCAGTTTCTGGCCACCACGTGGGCACCTTGCTCCGTCCCCTTCTGGCAGCCACATTTCCCGGGGCTCTTCCCCCCTCTAGGACCCATCTCTGTCCTGATGCCTTCATCTCTTGCAAGATTCTGCTCAAATGTCCTTTCCCAGTGAAACCCTCCCTGAGCAACCTTTGAAATTGTTCACCCTACCTCACACTGTATTCTTATCCCAGTCCCTGCTTTCTTTCTTTCCATACCTGACACTTGCTATTTGTTCACGCACCACGTGTCTTTCTTAGTTTATTGTCTAACCCCGAACCCTGGGTAAGAATTTACACTGGATTCATTCACTACTGTGACCGCAATACCTAAAAAGCAACTCTTGGTAGGAGCTAAAAACATTGCCAAATTAATTACTCAACAATAAAAATGTGGAATTTATTCAGGTTAAATTTAAGGAATAAAGAAGGTGGAAGTTTTTTTCTAAAAGCCTCACATGAGTATCAAGAAATAATAATCTGTGTTTAAAACCTGTTCAGTGTGGCCTGTTATTTTCTGTCTTTTGGGATACAGTGACTGTTTCCATATCAAAAAATTTTATGACTGCAATCCATAATGGGAGATGGTGTTTTTATGTTCAGTGGTTGAGAAATTAATGATAAATACCTATGCTCGATTTCATAAATTTTAAAATGAATTTAATAAGTTTGTAAAATAATCCCAGTACTCCATATACATGAAAAATGAAGGTATATGTGTGTGAAATGTTTCCTCCGTCTTTAGTATGTTTATATGAATGGACCCCTGGACATCATGAAATAACTGGGTCCTCCTGCCTCCAAGACTGCATAGAGGTGAGAATTAAGTCCAGAATGATTTCTTTACAATCAAAAGCTGCCATAGTTTTATAGAATTTTATTAAATGACTTGAAGAATTTTCTGCTATAAGAAAAGAAATTTCCCTACCATTACCCCGGCCAATATTTCCTTTCATTCATTTCCTTTAAGCACAACACTCTTCCCCTAACTTTTATTCTCTTCTAATGGAGAATTTCATTTGCCCAAGGTGCTTTGTGAATCACGGATCAGAAAATTTCAAGAAGTTGAATCTTTAAAAAATACAGTTTTCCATGAAGACAGGCAAGTAAACCATTCGAACATTTGGGAACCAAAATGCATATTTTGATGTTCAGTAAAAAGATTTTTCATTTAACTCCTGGAAAAGACATGGATTTTTTTTCTCTATTTCATTTATTTCCACCATTTAGCCTAAATACTATAACACCAATCAAACATTGTGTGCAGTGTGGTATAATGTTTTATAAAAGGGACCTAAGAAGTTTTCAGTAGAGGAACCCACAATATGTAGGGAAGGTGAATTGCTTTAAAACATCCACTTTTTAAATTTGTTCATCATTTAAAAAAATATCTCTTTTAAACTAAAACTTTCCAAAAGCTAGTTCCAGTCAAGGAAAATTCAGGAAAGAGGAAGTTAAAATGCGACCATTCACCCTTTTATGGGATAAAGTGATTTAATACACAATCACTGTACCTTCTTGCCAATGGGCTCATCATAATTTCACTCATGATTGAAAGTCTTTATGTGACTATTTCATAAGGGTTACACAGTCTTTGTTCAAACATGATGCCATATAAAAAGGAACTGAGAAATTTCCGAAGGTGATTTTAACTTTTTACTTGGAACACACCATTTGGATAAATAAGCATACAATGGGGTGAATGGATTGAAACGTATTCATTTGGATTCTGCCTTGCATGAGCTTCTAAATTCTCAGAATGGAAAAGCTACAGGACGAAAGTGCCCAGGTGACCAGAAATTAATGCTTTCTTCCTGGGGGCTGAGGTGGCCTTGGTTAGCAGGAAGATAAATATAGATGAATTTATAACAATGTGGCAGGAAAGTAGCAATGTGTCTTCCATCTACTCCAAAACTTAGAGAGGTTCTTTCATTCTTTTTCTCTGCAATATAAACAGACTTGTGGGCCTCGGAGATGTAGCAGGGACATCAGTGCTATTTATAACCAGAAAAACAGAAAAAGGTGGCAGCAGACAGGTTATTCCAATTATAGCTCTGCCTGCATTAATAGCCATTATGTTTTCACTTTCTTCTTACAACTAGCCACCTTAAATAATCCCAGAGAACCTAAGCCGCCAGATCTTTAGCAAACAACTTCTATATTTTTAGAGTCTGTGTTAATAGAATATTGCACATAAGCTTAGGGAGCATGAATGCCAGCTGTGACCACTCCTTATTAAATAAATAAAAACTTGCAAGTTTCCTCCTTGCAGGCGCCAGATGTAGATGTGCATTCTACTTCTGGATAGTCCACAGTCTTCTCTTGCCAGAAGTCTCTAAACTCTAAAATTACTGCATAGATTAAATGGATGAAAAAAGCCCATCTCCACTGGGGTAGTGGCTGGCGAGCACAGGGGGCCGTTTCTCTACAGTAGTTCTCAGGTGTGTACTGCAACCCCTGTGGGGTGGGTAAGGTGGACCACAAGAGATCCTATTCTTGGGGGGCAGCAGGAAGTTTGGGGGAAGATGCAGGGAATTCTTTTTTTTTTTTTCAGGTACCAGGGATCAAACTCAGGACCTTGCACTTGTGAGGCAGATGCAGTGCCACGCAGTGCCACTGAGTTACATCCCTGGCCCTAAGGGAATTCATTTTTCCTCCACATCTCAATGAACTGGTGCAGGGGATGTATGCACCAAAAACACTGCTCTCACATTGCAGAAAGATTCTAAATTACTTTCTGGATACAAATCCTATTTTCTCATTTGAATGATAATGGGCTTCAAAGAACAACCAAAGGTCAGGAGCTTGAATCAGTTGCAGAACCAATAACTCTGCTCCCCTTTTGGAAATTAGTCTTGTGCCTCAGCCCCTGGTGTAGTACTTAAATTAATTCTTGCATTGTTATTAAACTCTTCTGATGGGCTTATTTATCTCCCCAACTAGTTTGTGTTCCTGGGAGGCAAGTACTATATTTATATATTAAATATATATATATATTTTCAACATTATCTTGCAGTCTTAATAAATATTTATTAGGCCCCTATAAGCATATTTTAATTTTGGTTAAGATGCAACCCAAGGCCTTTAAAATCTACTTTAGCTTCCAGGGCATGAAGCCACCTCTCTCATGGATATTGCTTCAAACCAAGTTTCCCTCTTCACGGAAGAAAGTTTCCCTCTTCACGGAAAAAAGCCAAGGCTGCACCTAATTCTCATTAGCAACGGCAGCTGTGCTTGGGCTGGTGTTTAAGCCACCAGGAAAAGGCAAAGTAACAGTAATAGCTTTGACTGATTGCTCGGCAAGGGAAACAGAGCCCTCAGGTGTTGTAGACTTTCTATGGCCTATAAACCTCTTTGAAAACCTGTTTCTCAGAATTTAAGGCTCAGCTCAATTGAGGTCAGTATTACAGTAATGTCAATAATTCCAGAACTCTCACCCCTCGGGCAAACCAGCACAATTCATCATTAACTTTATTTCCACGGAAAGTCAACTTTTGGGAAAATAGTTCTAACTTGAACTATTTTATTTTGATTTTCTTTCCCCTAAGAAATAGTTCTGCCAATACTGCTTCCTTTAGATTTTGTAGTTCCAAGTCTTAACATTTCCCAGTGGCTACATTTATTTTCAAAACTCAGAACAGCTCTGAATACACAAAATCCAGGGCATCATAAGACAATACTTTCAGGAAGAGATCAAATAAGCCATTGGGTCTGAAAGTAATTTTCAATAATTGATACCCGATGATGTTTCAAAATTACCTCTAGCCTTTAAGGGTTATGAGACTGAGCTAGACTGCCCGGGGTATGCCAGCAGTGTCTGTCTCTTTCCCTTAGGTGTCAGAGCTGAAGGAATGATAGCGAACGTCTCTCCTCTTCAGAAGAGGCAACCCCACTTCCAGAGAGCAGTTGGGAGTAGATGAACCTCATCTGCTCAGCTGCGGACCCTTTGTCCCTGGGTTGGATTTGGGCTGATGATCTGGGAAGCTAGATTTTTATTTGCTACATTTACTTCTTCTGTTGCTAGAACTGAAGAAAGAAAATGACTCAAGATGGACATTATTGGATCTGCTGCTGCTACTTCTTTCAGGTAGGAAAGGTGTTCATCCTTATCTAGGACTTTATTATTTTTCCCAAGGAAAAGAGTAGCTGTACATTTAGAGGACTTTGATCCTTGTCTATTAATTTATTAAGATGAATACAACTTCAAACTTTAATGTTGCTCTGAGTTGACATGGTAGCACCAAACTAAACTGAGCATAGAGAGAGGTAGTCAAGTGGAGCTGATTATGACATTGTATATTTAAGAGTTAACTGGTGATCACAGTGACCCCCTGTGGGCTGGATATAAAGTCTAATTTATTTTTGTTTGCTTATCACCCAGACCTATGCTTGCCACAGCACAAACACTAACTGCTCGCAATTTAGTGCCTTGAAAATATTGTTCGTGATGTGAAAAGCAGGATTAGAAAGCTGCAATTTCTTCATGGCCAGTAGAGGGCAGCCGAGTTCAAACGTCACTCACTCATTCATTGGAGTTCAACGTGCCACTGTAACCCCCCTTTCAGATCTGACTCCAATCTGGAAAGGCTTCCTCCAGAACAGCCTCATTGACTCTCCTTATTGCACTTTAATGCTTCCCTCTCCCCTCTCCCTACCCCACATAGTATGGGGCCCAAGGGAGGTGTTTGGGACAGTCAGGCTGGTGTGCACCGATTTACACACCAAGCTCTGTGTCGCTTGTCCCTGGCCCAACTGCGGTCATCGACAGGGAAAGGCCATAGAGACCCTTGGGTCAGATGCCGAGTCTGAGAGTAATGGTAGCTCTCAGAGTCCTGAGGCTGGAAACAGTGCACACATAAGACACCCACGTCCTCTCAAAGCCCTCTCCACCCAGGCCTCTGTATGTCCATTAACCGGGATCAGGTGGGAATGAAAACTCTGGTTATTAATTGGTGGTGAAAGAGAAAGGTTTAAAATATCTCACTCATACTTTCTTTTATTTTGGGGATTTTCATAGTAAATCGCCATTCCTTCTAAAAATTTGTCTTATGCAGCACCTTCCCCCAGCACTTCGGGGCTGAGGAAGGAGAGCATGGTCAGCTGTCCTGACACTGCCTGCTGCACAACCAGACTCGTGTCCGGGGAAAAGGAGGGCCACTTGGGCTCCACCGGACACCCACAGATGCCATTAGCCCATGTGCTCCAGGGGCCACGGGGCCACGGAGCCACATGTTGCCCAGGGTATCCCTGGGACCAGGTGGAGTTGGCAAGTTACAGTAGCTTTAAGAAAGGGCTCTCCTTCTAGATTTTATTATTATTTTGATATTGCACCTTTCTATCTCTATCAGGCCCGGAATCTCCTCCCATGTTATAGTCAACCTTTCAGGAAGGAAGAAAGCCAATGCAGGCTTCTGGCAGGGCTGCTGTTCGCAGGAGCCTCACAGGCCCAGGATTCACATGAGACCTTTCCTCACCATCCAGGGAAGATGTCCCTGCCAGCCCTGCGTGGAAATGTCACCTGTCACGGCCTCACTTACTTCAAGGACTGGAGGCAGGGCCCCAAGTGTTGCATAAGCTCCTCCTCCTTCTCGTAAGATTCCAGCAAGCTCTGTGCCTTGTCGTGCTGATAGCAGTATATTTTATAAATCTCTTCCATTGGCCCTTTAATCTGCAAGAACACCTCTCCTGAAAAATACAAAGCAGGGGCAGATGGTATGAAACCAGACCAAGCCAGCACTTCGGATGTGTATCATTCAACAATGTTGATTCTTGCAAAAATGTTGTATGGGCCCCACTTTATCCTCAGGTAATTCAAAAGGTGTATTAAGTACAGAGAAATTTGTTTCTCTTTTCTTTCTTTCCTCTTCGCTTTCCTTCTTTATTTCCTCCCTCCCTGTCTTCTCTCCCTCCCTCTCTCCCTTCCTCTTTCCCTTCTTCTTTCCTTCCACTTATAAAACAAAGGATGAAGAGCTTGACAGAGACGGGCATTAAGGAAGCAGAGTTCTCCTGGAGGTGACTGTGCCAGGCTGGTGGGCAGGCTGGTGGCTCATACCTGTGGTTTGAGCAGATCTCTCGAAGTGGCTGGGACAGGTTTGGATTGGGCTGCATGAAACACTGGTGTTGTGACTTAAGCCAATTAGTGTAACTCTCTGAGTTTCATAGGATTGTTATAAAATGAGAGGTAGTGTATCTAAGGCCAGTGCACAGTACAAATATACTAAGGTACTACAATGGGACTGTTTCTGTTAATTTACTAGAAGTAAAAGAGGAGAAATTTTAGGTACTAGGTAAGTGACTTTTCAGTATTTATTTCACTAACATTTCCTGAGTTCTCTGAAAGGCAAGTGGTAGAATTTAGAGCAATAGAATACTTCCTTATATGTGACAATAAAAAGAAACCACAATTTAATTCCTTATAGAAATTAAGTGGGTAATACTGTGAACCAAGATTGTGAATGTATTTTATCGAAGCAACTTGAGCTAATTGTACCCAGGCATTTAGTGAATGCTCTGATATTATGATAAATCAGGAGTATACATGGTGGATGAGGCAGGTATTGGAGGACAGCTTGATTCAGTCACCATTGCATCACTTAAAACTAATTGGTCAGTGTCTACTACCGCCTAGCATGTGCTAGATGACTTGGGGTATGTGGCAGAACCCACCCTCAGAAACACTGCAGACTCGAGATCCATGGTGATCCGGAGGCTGAAGGGATTGACAGTGATGTGGACCTGGTTGTCCGGACCTGTTACAGTGACGGGGGAGTCTGTCTCCCCACAGAAACACAATGTCCTTGTCTGTAGGGTTGTCTGCACGTGTTTTATGCACATTAACTGCCTCATCCCCTATGCACATGAAGAAACAAGAGGCTGTTCATCCATATTGAACAAGGATGAACAAGTCTGAGTCTAACAAATCATTTCTCCGAAGTCCTGCCAGGGGACACAGTCAGGGCTATTGTCCAGCTGTCCTTGAGTATCAGCCCCTCACACTCAGCCCAGCCAGATACTCCAGGGGATGCAGCTGAAATGGGCACTGAACTTGAGGCACAAATCAGGGTTTGTGTGGTGGCTTTGGGAATGACGGTTTAAAAAAAATGTGAGCCACTTTCCCTGTATTATTCAGAAAGTGGAAATAACACTAGCTACAGTACTACTGAGATTAATTTAGGAACTAAGCAGGGCGAGGGATGCAAACTGTATCTGCCCCTGACTAGTTGTCACTTGTCTCTTAAAGCTGCTTCACTGTCTGTAGAATTAAAACACCAGTCTCATAGTGAAAGTGTCATAGTCTTTTCTTATTGGTAGCTAGTCAATAAAAGACTTCTTTCCTTTTCATTATATGTGCTTTTCTCTGTGATTAGAGATTCTGAGGTGACGGAGAGGTGTGTGCATGTGTTTTCTCTTGTGGCTGTTTGCTTTAATAGTCTGTAAGGAGACCCAGGGACTGTGGGCATCTTTGAAGCTGAGTGGATGCGGAATTCTTGATTTCTTTCAGGAGCAGATCCTCCTGGCACTATAGATCTTGTAGATCTGCTCTATAAGACAGCTGCACAAACAATAAGAAATAGTTGACACAGAGAGAAAATAAAAGAGGACAGCAACTTCATGTAGGGGCAGGCATAGGTGGAGAGAAACCCCTAGCAGAACTAGGCAGCAGAAGGAGCCGGGGTGTTGGATGGGGGAGAGGGAAGGCCCAGAAATAGGAGAGAGAGACAGGTTAAGCTGCAGCTCCCTGCAAGCTGAGAACTGAGGGTCTGAGTCCACACAGCCCACACAGGTGACATGTAAATGTACATGTTCACTGCTAAGAAAGTAGGGCTAGAGACTGAAAAAGAGAGAGGCAAAGATAGCCTCACGAATCCACAATGGGATCCAACCAGGAAGCCAAAGAAACAAAGACAAAGGCTCTTATTTTATGAACAATTATATCATTAATTGCAAATGCCCCCACATGTTCTTTAATAGAAATGCTCTGGTCTGAAAGAATTTAGAGCTCTCCCCTTAATGGTAAATGGATTTTTTTTTACTCTATTCCAAGTAAAATTCTGTTGGGGCTCTAATAATAATTATTAAAGTTAAAAGATACTTAAATACTCCAATTAAAAGTCATTTATTCACCCAAAGGCGAAGTGTAACACTGGTGGGCAGAATATTTGATTCCCCTCCCAGCCCTCCCAATGTATTCTGCTTCCTAATGGTGCCTGTGAAGGGAAAGTGATTGTGTTTCCATGGTAACGCAATCCTCCGGGTTGGGATTCTCCAGTGGTGAAGGACATCTCTCTGTCTGATGTACGGGGCTGAAGGGCTGATTAGTAGGGAGAGTGGACTGAGCCAAGGCCAGCGAAGGTAATTTCTCTGGGAAGCCTGGCCCGGAGGCACAAGAACCCTATAAGATAATAAAACTACTGTGTTCTTTGTAAAAATCCTATAGCCCATGAATGTGTGCATTGACTTTCCCCAAAAGCAATTGTCATGTGATTTCTTCTTTTAAATTTCCTTGGTTATTATTTTTGAAAACAACTCCCACAGATACTGCACACATTCTGTGTGCCGGGGTGATTATTCTTGCGCTGCAGATCTTTTCCTTCACTGATACAGTCACGTGCTCCTCTTGGACCCAGGTCTTTGCTTCCAGACCCTCGTGTCTCTCTCCACAATGTGCCTGCTCTGAGATGAATTTCCTCTAGGGGTGAAGAAACCAGGGGAAAGCCAGCAATATTCAGGGGATCTTCTTGTCTAGGCTTTGCTTAGGAAATGAAGTAGGTTTGTATTTGCCAAATTACTGAATGACTGGTTTGCACTAAGCTGTAGGAGCTATTTGCATCACAACCTGGACTTGTACTAGGAACCCTGAGTGAGCGCCGAAGCCCGGAGCTGTTGGAGGGGTAGGGGCATCCGAAACTCAGAGCGGTGCAGCTGAATGGCTCAGGCCTGCAAGGACCCTCAGGAGGAGGCTGCCAAGCCAGTGATCCTGGAGCAACCTGTGCACTGCTAAGGAGCTGGAGCCTGCACCTGGGGGTGATGCCCAGGCTCCATGGGTTTAGGCAGCAAAGCAACCTGAGCGGTGTTTTAGAAAGACGACCATAGGGACAAGTCACCCGAGAGATGGCATTGCCAGGAGGCAGTGAGGCTGGAGAAGAGCAGCCAGTGAAACGAGGATCTTCTGTAATAATGAAAGAAACTTCACGAGCTCCAACAGTCACTGCAGTCAGGCATGCTCTCTGGGCGGGGTGGGGGGGTGGGGGGGTGGCTTCCTGGTAAGGCGTGTGCTTAGCATGTGCAAGGCCCCAAGCTTCATCCCCAGCACTGTGTGCTCAGTGTGTGCAGGGTCCCAGGCTTCATCCCCAGCACTGTAAAAAGAATGCTTCAGAGTCAGCTCCTGGGTTCAGTTCAAATCCTGGTCTTACTATTCAACATGTGCCATTTGGGAAAGTTACTTGGATTTCTGTTCCTTAATTTCCTCCTCTCCAGGATGATGATGATGATGATGATGATGTTCTTTGAGTTGAAAGGAGTTAAGCTATGTGTTTATGTCGGTAGGTGGCACTTGCTCCACAGAAGTTAGCAACTAAGGCAGAGTCATTGAGGATAGGAGGAAAGGGACAGTGGACCGTGAGAGGTGGGAGGGAGACTCCAGGGACGGCGCAGTGGCTGGTTTCAAGGACTGCACAGCTGGACAGAGATGATGTGATAAGGAGACGGTTCAGGTGGAAAAAGCATAACTTCAACTCCAGGTGTAGAGTTTGAGCTGCTTACTAATGCAGGTGGGAAAATTCTGTGTGGACTGGGTACATGAATCTAGGATTCAGATTTTTACCCAATAGACAAGCAAATGTCTCGTTACGCTGGTAATGCTTTGGTTTTATTTTCTGTCTATCCCAGCTGAACATAATTCGAATCAACACATTGATTCTTTTTCTCCTTCAGTAGGAAAACATTTTGGGAGAAACCCTGACTAGTTGAAGGCTTCCTCTTTACTACTCCAGAATTCTGTACAAATATGACATGAACTTTATATAGGAAGGGCCTAAAGGAGATGTTACTTGGATTAACAACGCCAAAATAAATTCAACTCTCAAAGCCAACTAAGATGATGTTAAAAAAAGAATTTTTGTTAAAATTATAGGTCTAAGGTCTATCCCCAAAGAAAGCTTTCTGTGGTTCTAAGTGAAACTTGTTTGTCACCTCAGAGTATTTGGAATTCAAGGAAGGAGTGGTTGGCTCTGAGAACAGAAGTTAGTGTGGCCCACTCTCAAAAAAGGAGATTGGAGCCCTGGGTGCAGTGACACAGGCCTCTGGCTGCTGTTCCCCCGAGTGACACACTCCTGAGTGAAAGGTGCAGGACTTCTGAGGAGCTCTCCCTTGGCTCTCCTTGGGCCCAGCAGCTGGGGCAAAACAAGCATTCACTTGGCCAGCCAAATGCCAGATCATTTCTGTCTCTCCTCCTTTCTTTCCTGACCTTGTTCTGTTCTCCAGGAGAGGGTAAAGTCACAGAGGAAAAGAGTAGAAGTTGGAAGTTGGCTGCCCAATGAAGCCACAGGCCTTTGCCTTTAGTCTCGTTTAGTTCCTGCGTAGCCCGAGGATAAAAATGACTGCTGAGGATACTCATGGGACCCCGGCAAAGGTTATAAAAGCCAATCAAACACAGGTGGCAGATGGGACAGCAGCACAGGATTAAAACAAGTATATCCCTTGAGTATCAATTTGATTAAGAGATTTGAAGGGGAGAAACCATTGTTTTCACTTCAGGGGAGGCTGGAAATCGTGCATGAATTCTTACAATGAAACAAGTCTTCAAAGTTACTTCATGCCTGTGGCTATGGCCTCTGGTCATAACTCTACATTTCCCTAGGCTCATGATATTTCTTTTCTGATATGAAAAATATTTCCATAAAAGTTTTGCAGAAGCACCAGAATGAGAGATGTTCGGAAAGATGTGTTCTTTGGATTTGACAATTCTGAGGTCCCTGGTGTATTTGGAGGTAACCATTTTTTCAGAGGAGTGCTTTTACTTATTTTTTAATGCATGAGTGAATCTTTTCATTAATATGTTTGCAATATGTAACAATTATATTCACCTGGAGGAATCAGTACATATATGTATCGCATCTTGATAGTTTTACTTCTGCCCTCCACTAGCCCCTCTCCCTCCTTCCCCAGAACCCCTGCCCATCTCCACAGTGCCCTACCTCCTAGTTTCCTACCACCTCTCTTTTATTTTGCCCTTTAAATTATTTATGTTTTAGGTTTCTCAAATGAGAGAAACCATGAGATATTTAACCATTTGTGTCTGATACATTTCCCTTAGCATCATGGTCTCAAGATCCATCCATTTTTCCTACAAATGCCTCAAATTTATCCTTTGTGGTTGAGACTATGAAAGGTGAGCAATAGGGACCAAGCAGAGGAGCCAGGCCACACAGACAGGGGTGGAAGGCGGGAACAGAGTTGTGGTGGGGTCTGGTGCTTGACCCTAGATGTGTCGTGTACTGTGGAAGATCACGGGCCTCTCAAGAAGCGTTGTGTGCAGCTGAGGAGGCATCTCCCAGGGGGACAAACTGGAGAGCACTTGTGGGCAGTGGAGATGGACAGTTAATGGGGTGAAAAGAGCTCTGGAAATACTCTGGCTGGCATTTGGGAGACAGTGTCCACAGTTGGTGATATCCCAGGGGTGAAGCAAGCTCCCCCGACTGTCTCAGCAATGGAGTACAGGACCTTCAAGTCTGAGTCCAAGGCCAGCATTCAGGAATACTCTTTGTTTGATGACTCAGGATCTGTTCTTGCACCTTGTTGACTTCCTGGCTAGTTTAATTCCTGCTGGGGAATTTCATACTTGACATATCCAGACAACACTGGCTGTCTGAGTTCAGATTGCTGCTCGCTGGCTTAGGAAAAGGTGGGATAACTTATCCCTACTCATGGTTGCCGCTGACACTGAGGAAGGCCCAGGTCTTACATCAACCCTCGGTTCTCCATTGGTCTCAGCCTGGTAACGACCTCTCTTGGGACAAAGTGCTTGTGCTGCAGCTGGTGCTCTATGGTGCCCAGCAGTCTCTGAAGTGACGCTGGCACAGACCATGGGCAGACAGTCCAATGATGGCAGCAACATCCACTCCTCGTTCCCTCTGTGCCCTGCCAGTGCACTGCACGTCAGCTCTTATCTCTGTATTTCATACACTCAGTCAGCACTGATGGAGGATGACATTCTGGGTGCCAGTGCCATGACAACCACACAACAAACAAGAATTCCTTGCATTTTAATGGGGTGTGCCTCAAGTCACGCGTCCTCTGCTATGGACATCTTGTTGTCTCTCCTTAAAATGGGAACAAGTAAATGAATGCAGCATCCATTGCTAGCTGCTTCTCCACTCTTCTGAAGTCTATCAAATCGACAGAATCTGGACCTGCGATGCACCCAGTTTAAAGTTCTGACCTGATACTTCTCATGTCTCTTGTAGCGAAGGCGTGCCCAGGATGTGTGCAAAGATGTGTTTGTATGTGTGTGTGTTCATGTGTGGAATGAACTGAAACACAAGTATAGCATCACCAAGAAAGGTCATATTCCCCCAAAATGAAAGACGCGTCACAAGGAGGTGGCTTTTCTCTTATTGCCTGAAGAAAGTGGTGGCTAGAGTTGAAATAGTTGTTTTGGGCCCACGTTTTTTTTGGGGGGGGCGGGTACTGGAGATCGAACTTGGGTCCTTGTGCTTGCACAGCAGGTGGCAAAAACACTGAGCTAAATCCCCAGCCCTAGCCCACGGTTTTAAGGCCACATGCTAAGGGGTTTGAAGGAAAAAAAGCTGTAAGTAGCCAGTAGTAGAGACACCAGTCTGAGACAGGTGCATCATGGAATTCTCATTATGTTAGAAAAAGAAGTCCTTTCTTGGTTAACACTTTGGGTCAGTTTTCTATTTGTGGGCACATGGAATCCTCAGTGTTCCAAGTGACATGTCCATAGCCATGGAACTAGTGGCAACACAGC